ACAATAAAAAAAAAAAAGCAGGTGAAAAATCAAAATGAACTCCAGGAAATTAAAAAGTTTTTTTCTTTTTTGTTGCTTTTCTTTCCTTTTTTTTTTGTTTGTTCATTTATGTCTTTGGGAAGGTGAGGGAGCCACAGAAATGGAGGGGAAAAGGGTAAACAAATGCAGCTGGACAGTACGTTGAAAATGAACTATGTAACTTGTGGATGGAAGGGAAAAACTGGGAGAGAGTAAGAGAAGGGGTGACATTGTCCAAAAAAATGTACTCTTTACCTAACCCTCTGCACATCATCTTTACAATAACAACAAAAAGGCCAGGCACTGATAGCTCATGCCTATAATCCTAACTACTCAGGAGGTCGAGATCTGAGGATCACAGTTCTCAGCCAGCTGGGGCAGGAAAGTTCATGAGACTCTTATCGCCAATTAATGACCAGAAAATCAGAAGTGGGGCTATGGCTCAAGTGCTAAAGCACTAGCCTTGGGCAAAAAGGTGTCCAAGGATACCTAGGTTCACACCCTGAGCTCATGCCCCACAACTGGCAAAAAAAAAAAAAGATAATTTTTTTTTAATTAAAAGAGCTAGGTGCTAGTGGCTCACACCTATAATCCTAGCTACTCAGGAGGCTGAGACATAAGGAGCATGGTTCAAAACTAGCCTACACAGAAAGTCCATGAGACTCTTATTTCCAATGAACTACAAAAAAGCTAGAAGTACAGCTGTAGCTCAAGTTGTAGAGTGCTAGCCTTGAGTACAAAAGCTCAGGGACAGTGCCCAGGCCCTCAGTTCAAGTCCCCCTGCCCAGAAAAAAAAAAGAAGAAGAAGAAATATAGTTGTGGGAGACTTAAGAGACTTAGAGTTTGGAAAGACCGGGAAGCAACCCTGAGAAGTGGTATTTACATCTTTAGAATGAACAAAACCACAAATTAGTCCTAAATGGAGAGAGTATTCAGAAATGAAGCTGCAGAAAAGTCATAGGCAAAACCTGACACATCAAAGGTCTATTAAAATTATTTGTTACATCAATCAATGAATACAATTAAACATTTTCTGATATAAGGTCTAGCGGGTTATGTTGCTCAAACTAGCCTTGAACTCCTAAATTCCAGCTATCTTTAGCCTGGGAGTAGCTGGGAAGACAGCAGTCAGGCTGTGACACACCTGTGTCTAAACTTCAATAGCAAGCCTACTTCCTACTGCTCATCCCACCCTTGACTTTCTTTTCTCCACTTAAGATACATACACACTCTTACCACCAGATTTCCTTCTTTTTCACTCACTTCCATTTAACATTCTTGCTTAAAATGTATTTTCTCTAAAGCTTTGGTTTTAACACTTCCCCCTTCCAAAAATAACATCCATTCTCTGTTCTTGTGTTCTATACCTTTAATTCCCAAATTCATATGCCCAAATTTGCCACCCCTGATTTCATAGGCTAGTTCAGACCTCTGCATCTTACTAGAGCTCATAGTCTGTTTTCCCTAGTCAATTCCACTTATCTCTTCTATCTAATCTCTCAAATACTGCTGATTTATGTTGTTCACAATGTAATTTTTTTTGTCCTTCCCCTTTTGTTGCTCATCTTTTGTCAACACCATGACCAAGATCCTCAATAACTCATTTTGAGTAGGGACTCTGTAAGAGCATTACCAGTACAACTTTTTTTTTTTTTTTGGTTGGTTGTGAGGCCTGAACTCTGGGCCTGGGCACTGTCCCTCAGCTCTTCAGCTCAAGGCTAGCGCTCTACCACTTGAACCACAGCACCACTTCTGGCTTTTTCTGTTTATGTGGTGCTGAGGAATTAAACCCAGGGCCTCCAGCATGCAAGGCAAACACTCTACTGAGCCACCTTCCCAGCCCACCAGTACAATATTTAAAACCACCTTAATAACTTCATTCAGAGACCCAAAGCTTCCAAAATTCCTTAGTCTTTTAATGTTTTTCTGATCGTTTTCTTTCCTTTATGGGATGGAACCTAGAACCTTGTACATACTAGGTTAAGTGTTCTACAACTGAATTTTTGCTGATTCTTAAAATTTTCTATGATTTCCTCTCTCCCATATACTTCAACCAGATCTCCTACTATGTCTGAAGATGCTACTTCCATTCTAGTCTGATAGTCTACACATTAACAGCTTTCCCCAAACATACACTGTGCTCTTGCACGGATCATCCTCTTTTCTTTACATGCCGAATGCTATCAATATGTGATCTGCCTCGTCCAACTACTCCAGATCTCTCTGGAGAGCACTTTAAATTCCTATCCTATAAAGCTTTTCAACTATTTTCATCATCCAATTATGGACCATGTAACCACTTTCCACACTAGACAAACTGCCTACACCTGTATTCTACTGCCACCTCCAACTCATAGCTTTTACATTATTTACACTTATATTGTTCAGCAATCCTACCTTAACGCTAGGTCACCCCCTTTCCAAGTTGACACTTATTGACTGGCAAATAAGACGGCATGGCTAATATTTAAGCACTGATCTATCCAACTCCAAATCCTTAGCCCATTCTACCACATACTGCCTCTCCAATGCACCTTTCAGAAAATTCACATATTTCTATTTTACCCCTAATATTTCATCTTAGTGCATATCAGAAGTTGAACTTGGGATACCAACCTGCTCTCTGAATAGAATCTGTTAGAATTCTATCTGCTGTGTCATACTTCGTGTGATAAATGTATCCGTTCTCAATAAAAGCTAAATCTATTCCTGTAACACACAGACAGGGGAAAAGTCATTTTGCTTTAACGTTTAACTTCACTTTAGGCTTATTTGTTTAATAAATTCCTAAGACAAAATGTCAAAGCAATGGGATGACTGTCCTGCCATATTTATGAAGAATATTCTCTTCCATACTTACAAAATCTACAGTTATGATCCCTAATGCAAAGCATGACTGAGGAAGTATACTATACCACATAGAAGAGGAATTCACACAGCAAGGAGTAGGAAATTTGATGTACTGAGTTTGGTCAGTCATCAAAATTTTACCATCTATATCCTTGCCTGGCCAAAGCCAAATTTTAACTGCAAATAAAGTCATTGAGGGAATTGGCAAGCAAGACCCACAATAAAAGCAAAAGACCCCTAGGGCTGGGAATGTGGCTTAGTGGTAGAGAGCTTGCCTAGCATGCATGAAGCCAGGTCCAATTTCTCAGTACCACATAAACAGAAAAAGCTAGAAGTGGCACTGTGGTAGAGTGCCACAAGTAGTAGTAGAGTGCAAAAGAAGCTCAGGAACAATGCCCAGGCCCTGAGTTCAAGCCCCAGGACTGGCCAAAAAAAAAAAAAGTCAAAGACCCTTGAGAGATCTGGTAATGAATTGTTAAACCAATCCTAATCATATTCTGGAGGAGGCAAACATTTAAATTACTATGGAGTTTTAAAAAAAGAAAACATTTGGCATGGGTCCTCAAGAGGCTGAGAAATGAGGATTGAGGAAATTCAAAGCCAGCCCTGGCAGGAGAGTTTGTAGGACTCTTAGCTTCAATTAACCAACCAAAAAGCTGGAAGGGGATCTGTGGCTCAAATGGTAGAGAGCTAGTCCTGAGCAAAAAACTGCTCAGGGCAGAGCCCAGGCTGTTTGGCCTAGGACTAGAACACACACACACACACACACAAAAAGGACAACATTAAGAACTCTCTGTTAGTGAGGAAGAAAATTTATATGGAATGTACTCTCCAAACATGGTGTCTACTCATAAACTTTGAAGAAGTAAAGCTCATTTTTGAGAAATCAGTTTTGTACAACAGCTTATAAACCATTCACAAAATACCTGGAATGTTCCCAAAATCTCTATAGATACGAAAGTCCGTATCTGAAGGAATGATTCCACTCTGGAAAACCTCTTGAGCCACCACAGAAGCAAAAGGGTGTTTAGCTGCTGAAACATAAGCTTGAACCAACCAAGGATTTTCAGGACCTGAAAAGAAGTGGGACAACACAATGCAAGGTTAATCTTGTAATTTTTTAAACATATCTGAGTAATTACTTTGTTGCTGGTGTTACAATGCTAGACTTGCATGTACTAAGCAGATCTTTTCCAACCATGCTTCATCACTAGGTGGTTTGGGAAGATGGATGCAGACACATTCCTTAATCCCTTTTTCTGTATTTTCCAACATTTCTCAGATTATATGTATATGACTTGTAGAATGAAAAATAACTTCTCATAAAGATAAAATTACCTTAAACTATGTTTATCTGAAAAACAGGAAACTAATTTGTAATTCTATCACCCTCAGACAATTATTATCAATTTAACATTTTCAATTTTTGTGGTGTGTTCATAGCTGCAAACAGTACACTCTATACATTGTTCTTTAACATTAAACATATTTTCCAATACTGATAAAAATTACAATGATCATTTTAATACTTCCTCTTTATTTTGCTTACTATAAGGCTCCATACCATTTATAATTTATCATAATTAATAATTCTGCATTCATCATGTATTAACACCTTTTTTCAAAACTTGAGTTTCTTCTTTGAAATTATAGGATGTTATATTATTGCTTTCAATAAGGGCCTCATATCCAGAATATACAAGGTGCTCAAGAAACTAAACCTCAAAAAAGCAATTAACCCCATTAATAAATGGGCAAAGGAGCTAAATGGAGTCTTCTCAAAAGAATGGCCAATAAATAGAAATGGCCTGGCCATAATGGAAATGCAAATCAAAACAACACTGAGATTTCATCTCTCCCCAGTACAATTGGCCAGCATCAAGAATAAGAACAACATATGTTTGAGGGGCTGCAGGTAGGAATATAAACTAGTACAACCACTCTAGAAGGTGGTTTGGAGATTCCTCAAAAAACTGAACATAGAACTATCATATGATACAGCGATACCACTGTTGGGCATTTACCCAGAATATTGTAAATCAGGCTATAGTAAAGACACTTGTACATCCATGTTCATTGCTGAACTATTCACCACAGCCAAGTCACAGTAACAACTCAGATGGCCTACAATAGAAGAGTAAATCAAGAAAATGTGGTACATATATACAATAGAACTTTATTCATCTATCAGAAAGAATATTATGTCACTTGCAGAGAAGTAGATGGATCCAGAAAAAATTATGGTAAGTGAAGTCAGGGTCAGACAGTGTATGTATGTGTAAGTTAGATGTAAAATACACACATACATGATAACATACACAAGGTTTTATAAATATATACACAAACTGACTAAAGGATGGTACACCTAGGGGAGGAGTCCAAAGGTATAACTCTTCTGAACAACTAATAAACCACTTAAAATTAATATTGGGAAACATACATGTTCAGGGGGAAGGGCACAGTAAGAAGGGAGTCACAGGAAGGAAAGAGGAAAGTTGAGCAAATGCAGTCATTATATTTAATGTACACTAGTAGGGATGAGATGGGAAAGAACAATGGAAAGGGTGACACTGATCAAAATGCACTGTACTCATAAACTGTCTTTTGGAATTGAAATCCCTTTATATGATTACTTAATAATTCACATGAGACTCTTTATCTCCAGTAACCTATTCAAAAAAACTGGAATGTGAACTGTGGCCCAAGTGATATAGCGCTCACCTTCAACAAAAAAAGCCCAGGCCCAGAGTTCAAAGCTCCAGGATCATGGAGGGTTGGGGGGAAAGTATAGTACTGTTCCAGATTATTCACTCTTTCCTCCTAGAAAAAGGATTCCACATTCCTATCTTAGCCTTACCACATACATAATTTGTAATACTTCCCTATGGAATCACTACATATTTTCTCTACAAATATTAATTGAAGGCTTGGTCTTATTACTTGCTCTGGACAAAAGATTGTGAGCAGGAATAGAATAAAGCTCAATCCAATAAATAATAATAATAATAATGGGATATGACTAAATTATTAAAATAATTTATACTAGTAATTAAAAGTATATTATTAACACTTAGGAGAAAAGGCAAGCAGAGGGGGGGACACAAATGGAGAAAAGAAGGGTAAGCAAATACAGTATCTTCAATGTACATTATATAAAAGTTGAGTTTTTACATACAGGAGGTAGGGATGGGAAGGGGAAAGACAAGTGAGAATGATAAAAAGGGCAATACTGATCAAGATGCATTGCACTCATAATCTGACTTATGGAATTGAGACCCTTTTGTACTACTACTCAAAAAATAAATAAAAACAAAGATATAATTAAAACTACTCTGACAAACAAGTAAAGCTAAATTATAAATTCAAAAAGTGATTATCAAGAAATCAGAAGTTACTTAAATGGGGGCTGGGAAGGTGGCTCAGTGGTAGAGCGCTTGCCTTGCATGCTCGAGGCCCTGGGTTCGACTCCTCAGCACCATATAAGCAAAAAGAAAAAAGCCGGAAGTGGCGCTGTGGCTCAAGTGGTAGAGCGCTAGCCTTGAGCTGAAGAGCTGAGAGACAGCTCTTAAATGGGAGAAGGCTAGCGGTACAGTCCAGCAGTTGAGTACCTGCTTCGCATGCGGAAGGCCCCAAGAACTGGATCCCCAGCGCAGAAAAAAGGATTTAAGAGAATTGTATTTGAGAAAGCAGAGGTAAAAATTTTTGGAAGGGTGTGGCAAGAGTTTATACTCTGGAAGGTTTTACAAGATGACAGATTAGAAGCATTGGCCATTTCATTTTTTTTTTGGGGGGGGGTCCAGTTGTGGGACCTGAACTCTGGGCCTGGGAACTGTCCCTCAGCTCTTCAGCTCAAGGCTAGCTAGCGCTCTACCACCTGAGCCACAGCGCCACTTCCGGCTTTTTTCTTTTTGCTTATGTGGTGCTGAGGAATTGAACCCAGGACCTCATGTATGCAAGGCAAGCACTCTACCACTGAGCCACCTTCCCAGCCCTGGCCATTTCACTCTGTGAAGAAGAATCTAGTATCACAGAAGAAACTAGATTCTGAAGAGAGTAAGAGTAAGCTAACCAGAAACTATAAAGGAGGTTGTAGGGAAGCAGAAAACTTCAGAGGGGGAAACACACACATATACATACACAGCAACAGCAGCAGCAGCAGCAGGGAATAAATGAGGAACTCCAAATCCCTGGCTCACTAACTAGGGATGGGGTAACTAAAAACTGCAATACAAGATAAAATCAGCAGTACTAGCGAATTCTTGCTGCAAAATGTCCACATAAGCAAACCCGCACCGCAACACAGGGATATGTTGTAAGGCAACCAGGTGCCTTGGTAAAGACAGACGGTCTGTGGCTTCTTAAGCAGGAACCCACAGGGAACTGCCTTCTTGAGGAGAATGCCTAGAGATAAGGCACATGTAGCTCAATGACACAGAGTGCTATCCTTGAGCAGAAGAGCTGAGGGACAGTGCCCAGGCCCAGAGTTCAGGCCCCACGACTGGCCAATAAAAAACAAAAACAAAAAAACAGAACAAATATAAAAATTATGAGTATAGAATGAAAAGAGAAACCAAAAGTACTGAGAACCTAGATAATAAAATAAAAAGCAAAAAACATTTCCAAGAGAAGGTCATCCATGTGGAGAAGGCTTATAAAACACCAAATAAGCAACATCCCTAGACATTAAAATAGTAAACAAACAGAATAAAGAAAGAAAATTGAAAATAGCAAAGAAGAGACAAATTATACACAATGACAAATCCATCAGAATAACAGCTGGTTCCCAACAGAAACTCTAAGTGCCACAAGGTCATAAAAGGACATATACTTTAAACCCTGTAACGTAACAACTGCCATTCTAGATTAATAAACCAGCAAAACTATCTTTTATCATTAAGAGAGAAAAACCTTCCCATAATAATCAAAAGCTACAGGAAAAGATGACTAACAAACTAGCTCTGTGAAAGACACTTAAAGGAATACTAACCACAGAAGAAAATAAAAAACAAGAAAACTTAAGGAAGAATAAACCCCACTAGGCCGGGCACTGGTGGCTCACGCCTACAATCCTAGCTACTAAGGAGGCTAAGATCTGAGAATCATGGTTCAAAGCCAGCCCAGGCAAGAAAGTCTGTGAGACTCAGATCTCCCAATAAATCACCAGAATATCAGAAATGGCACTGTGGCTCAAGTGGTAGAGGACTAGCCTTGAGCTGAAGAGCTGAGGGAGAGTGCCTAGGCGCAGAGTTCAAGCCCCACAACCAATTAAAAAAACAAAAACAAAAAAACCCCACTAGATGAATTGATTGGCAAAGGAAGAATAGAAAAAAAGCAAGCATCATAAAAACAGGAAAATGACATGAAATATGGCATACTTTTCAATTTTATCATTGAATATTAATGGTCTTAATTCTCCAATCAAAGATATAGAACAGCAATTTGGATTAAAAAGCATGAACCAGCCATGCACTGGTAGCCCACACCTGTAACCTCAGCTACTAAGAGGCTGAGATCTGAGGATCATGGTTCAAAGCCACCCTAGGCAGAAAAGTATGTGAGAATCTTATCTCCAATATTGAGAGTAAATAATTTGGAAATGCATTGCAGCTACGGTTAGTTACCTCAATGAAAGCTGTTGCTCAATAAGGAGCTTGAGCAGAGAAAGAAAAAACAATAGAGAAGGTTATTCGGAACAAGGCATAATATTTGCCTGTATAAATGCCACAGTGATGTTAAGCACTGGTGGCTCACGCTTGTAATCCTAGCTACTCAGGAGGTTGAGATCTGAGGAAAGCAGTTCAAAGCCAACCTTGCAGGAAAGGCTGTGATAGTCTTATTTCCAATTAACCCCCTAAAAACCAAAATCAGGCTGTGGTTTAAAGTGGTAGAGTGCTAGTCTTGCACTTGCACACACACACACACACACACACACACACTGACAAAGAAAGAGAGGGAAGAAGGAAGGAAGGAAGGAAGGAAGGAAGGAAGGAAGGGAGGGAGGGAGGGAGGGAGGGAGGGAGGGAAAGAGGGAGGGAGGAGGGGAGAAAAAGGGAGGGAAGAGAAAGGGAAGAGAGGAAAGGGAAGGGACGGAGGGAATAAAGGAGGAAGGGAGGGGAGAAAAGAGAGAGAGAGAGAGATGTCACAGTGAAATCCCAATGCAGCTGGTGCACATTAATAATAATAATAATGATGACAGAAGAGCAGGGCAGGTTCTGTTTGGGGTTGAGATGTAGAGGGCTGGTAAAACAGGTGAAAGGAAATAGAACAATGAAGTCTGTTGTGGTTTTGAGAGGAAGAGAGCAGGATTGAGGAAAAGTGATGAAGGGGATGAGATTGAGGGAATGCATTATATGCATGTGAAAAAATTTCACAGTAAAACCCTACTTGTACCACTAATATATGCTAATTTAAGTCTCTACTCTTTCAAGAAGTAAGGTTTAAAAGGTATTCACTCTGTGATAATTAAGTTTTATAGCCTTTGTGATATATGATTGTGATATATTTCATATTACATAAATGCTATGCCTGACTGAACTGTGATAAAAACAGCTAGGATAGTATTGGTACAGTTGGATAAATCTGAAAATACATATTTATCAGACAATAGTTTTACTAACATTATACTTCTCAAGTATAATAAATGTTCTTAGAGAGGAGAATGTCTATTTACTGAGATAAATATGCTAAGATTATCAATTAATACAATTTTCTCCCTTGCTTTGATAAATGTAGTAAGTTATACTGTTGCTCAACTTGATTAGAAATGATTGACTATTTTGCATCTATTAATTGATTTCAGTTTGCAAATATTTAGAACATTAACATCAGTGTTTGATGTTACATACCAAAAATATCTACCACAGTTTATATACACCTATGACTCAGAAATGCATATATACATACGTGTAAAGTGGTAGAGCACTAAAGGGAAAAACAGAGAGCAAGGGAAAGGATGACACCATACAAAATGAAATTTACTCATTACCTGACTTACATAGTGTAACCTCTCTGTACTGTACATCATCTTTATAGTACCAATTAAAAATTAAAATAAAAAATAAAGGACTTGAAAATACAAAAAACTCATAGTGAAAAAAATACACTTGAAAAGATGTTCACAGCATCATTATTTATAAGAAAAAACTTAGAAAGTAAGTCCATTAGTAAAATGAATAGACTATAGTGCAATGGAATATCAGTCATCAATGAACACAGAATGAACTATTGTGAAATGAGTGGGGGAAAAAAAGCCACACACACAAAACACTGCATATGACTCAATTTAAATTAACTTCAAATACAGACAAATTTAAATCTACCAAGGTATGTTAGTATCGTGGTAATAACTTTCTAAGGCAGGAGGCTCTAGGGTACCTATTCTGTGATCTCATGATTATTTATATTGCATTTGTAGAAAATCATTATTCTGAGTGCTAAAAGCTGTGAACTTTTTGGATTACAATAAAAGATGAATAAAAACATTTATAAACATTTAAGATATATATTATATATAATATGTAGTATTTGTGATATTTTTCATATATTTATATATTTAAAGTTATATGAGATACTTATAAAGGAATAAAAGTACTTATAAAGTTTGTTTTATGCATTGTGCCATAAAAACTCATTTAGAAAAATCTTAGACCCATTAGTAAGAAAAGCTTTTACAATTTTAAAGATCTGATACCTGGCCTTTAACCTCTTATTGTTCCATTATAACATGGGCATGCCCAATGGCTATTACAGCTTCTCTTGGATTGTCTATTGATAGCTACCCATCAAGATCTGGTGTAGAAAAGTGAGGCTTGGGAGACTGAGATGAGGAAATAGATAAACTCCTGAGTAAGAAAATGCTCATCATATAAAGCAAAAGGGAGCCCCTTAAGTGAGAAACTGTAGACCTAAAGATGTTACTCTGTGGTTATCAACTATAAAAGGGTAGGTACTAATAGAATCCCAGTTTTACAGATCAGAAGAACAGGTTGGAGAGGTGTATGACTGGTCCAAGGCTCTACACATGGCACATACTATTGTTTTGAGGTTTTAAGCTTATCTCATTTAATTATAGAGCCAGTGCTCTTAGTCATTCCTCTCACATGCCAACCAAAGAAAGCTTTTAGCTTAATTATCCTCAAGAGAAAAGTACTGGGTACATATGAAATATTTTCAATTTGTATTCTTTCTGCTACCATCATCCAATCCTGTGATGCTTTCTGGGCTGTGACGGGTTCTTTTTAAAGAACAAGCCCAGCTTTTTTCTTGCAGGTATAACATGTACGACACTGAAGGGAAGTAAGAGCTCAATGACAGAATGAAGACAAAGCTTCCTAGAAATTGAACAAAAGCAGACCCACAGCATCACTTTACAATGTTCTACTTGCTTCCACTTGTGGCTGGTAGCAATGATACCCAGAGGAAAAAAAAAATAGATGCTATTAGCATTACTCTGATAAAAAATGTTAACAAAGACAACCTAAAACTACTCATAACTTAAAAAGAATGCTTCTTCAAGAGATTATTTATTAGAGTTCACTTATGTTCAAAAGTTTCCATTTTATAAAAACTAGAATTGCATTAAAATATACAGAGCCTTACATACCTGTTTGGAACACAAGTTCTTTCCCTCCCACACCTGCTGCCTCCAGGTTAATAAATGCACGAATTAAGCTTGCCCAGGGGTGCTGAGTAATGAAACCATGACTGGCCTTAATGAGAAGAAAACAAAACAAACATGGGTTAAACAATCTTAAACTATCAAACTTCATTTTAATTATTTTAAGTACAGAGAGCTATCTTGCTAAGGTAAACAATATGAGAATAAAATAATCATTTCTCAAAGATAGTCTGCAAAGACGTTCTGTTTCTCTTTTTTATAAATAATGGCTTTGTATCGTTCTGATTGCAAAGTTATCCATCACAGAGGCAGTCTATCAGGAGTGGTTCCAAACAACATTTTTGCTAAGTGTGAAACTATACAAAAGGCAAAGAAAATAGGAGTATAGAGGAGACAATACACGTGGTGGGCATTTGTACTGTGTACTACCACAAAACAGCTCTGAAACTCCAGATCAAAAAAAATATAAAGAGAGCAACTGTGCCATCAAAGAACTCTTTTATAAACCAAACACTGCTCCATGTATCATGGCTTATGCCTAAAATACTAGCACTAGGAAAGATGAGGCATGATGATCAGGAGTTCAAGGTCAGCCTGGGTTACATAGCAAGACCATCTCAGAAGAAGATTTAAAAACAAAAACAAAAAACCCATGTGGAGCTTGGCACCAGTGGCTCTCACCTATAAGCCTAGCAACTGGGAGGCTCAAAGCCAGCCCAGGCAGGAAAGTCCTTGAGATTTTTATCTCCAATTAACCACCAAAAAGCCAGAAGTGGAGCGGTGGCTCAAGTGGTAGAGCATTATGAGCACAAAAGCTCAAGGATAGTACCTAAGCCCTGGCAGGGTTCAAGCCCTTGGACTGGCACAAAAAAAAAAAAATATGTGCATAGATATACGTATAGTAAAAATTTGACCAAAGTACATTACATGCATGCATAAACCCATTTTTACAATTTACACTAATAAAAATAAATAAATAAAATGAAACGTTGCCAAGATAGTATGTTCTGAGTTGAGCTTTTCAGATATTGAACAAGTCTACATAAGTTTTTGTATGTGTGCCACTACTAGTGCTTCAACTAAGGTCTTTATGCTCTACTTTTAGCTTTTCTCTCAAGATTGGAGCTCTACCACTAGAGCCACAGTGCCACTTTTGACGTTTTTTTGGAGATAAGAAGTCCCTCAGGGAAGTGGCACTGTGACTCAAGTGGCAGAGTACTGGCCTTGAGCTGACAAGCTCAGGGACAGGAACCAGGCCCAGAGTTCAAGCCCCACAACTGGAGGAAAAATATAGTTGAGACAAGAGGACCTCAAATTCAAGTTCAGCATGGACTACCTACTGCATCCCCCCTCAAAAACAAACAAACAAACAAAACCAGCAAAAAAAGTTGTAAAGATTTTGGCTGGGCACCAGTGGCTCATGCCTGTAATCCTAGCTATTTAGGAGGCTGATATCTGAGCATTGCGGTTCAAAGCCAGCCCAGGCAGGAAAGTTCATGAGACTCTTATCTCCAATTAACCACCAGAAAACCGGAAGTGGCACTGTGGCTTAAGTGGTACAGCGCCTGCCTTAAGCTAAAGAGCTGAGGGACAGTGCCCAGGCCATGAGATCAAGCCCCACAACCAACCAAAAAAAAAAGAAAGAAAGACAGGGGCTGGGAATGTGGCTCAGTGGTAGAGTGCTTGCCTTGAATGCATGAGGCCCTGGGTTCCATTCCTCAGCACCATATAAGCAGAAAAAAACTGAAGTGGTGCTGTGGTTCAAGTGATAGAGCACTAGCCTTGAGCTGAAGAGTTGAGCCCAGACCCAGAGTTCAACCAAAAAAAAAAAAAAGACAAATAGCACATTTCTCTCTGATATGCAGAAATTAGAGCCAAAATACACTGGATATGATAAATGATACATGAATCCCAATTCAAGACACTCACACACAGTGAGACCAAAAGAGGATACTCTTTGGAGAGAAACACAAAGGTGTGATGTCTACGTGCCTCTTCGTATATATATATATATAAATATATATATATATCAAAACGAACTCCAAGATACAAGTACTTTTTTTTTTTGTCGGTCGTGGGGCTTGAACTCTGGGCCTGGGCACTGTCCCTCAGCTCTTCAGCTCAAGGCTAGTGCTCTACCACTTGAGCCACAACACCACTTCCGGCTTTTTCTGCTATGTGGTGCTGAGGAATCGAATCTAGGGCCTCGTGCATGCAAGGCAAGCACTCTACCACTGAGCCACCTTCCCAGCCCCAACAAGTACTTTTTAAAGTACTATCAGGTACAGTAATTTCTTGAGTTTTTGATACTATTCATATTAATAAAAATGCATATTAGCTATCATCATCATCATTATTAAAGCCTAGTATTTAAAGCAACAAAATCTCACTTGCAGGACATTTTCCTCAGCACCATTGAAGAGAAATACCACAGCATGGTGTAAGGCTTCTGAAGATGTTGATAAAACTCGAAGAACTTCCAACATCACTGAACAGCTAACTGCATCATCACTGGCACCTTCAAATCAGAAAAACAGATTTGTTTCTCAGATTTTAAAGCCTTTACATTATGAACCATTGTAGCTAGTCTCCTCAGAGAAATATCACAATAGATGTATGACTGTAAGTATAGCTCTATCATTATCAGGTGACCAATGCACCTACCATACAGAAGTTCCACAAAGATCCTGGTCTGGTTTGTCCACTAACAACCTACCATGCCTAGCTCTCAGGACAAACTCAATTTCTGTTGAATAAATCAACTGGATGAGACGTAAGGTCATAAAGCAAACTGTCAATCTCAACAACCCAAGATCATTTGTGACATCCTTTGCAGAGCTCAAACTGTGGGCCTCATGTGTGCTAAAGCAGGTGATCTACTATTGAGCCACAATGACAGCTCCCATTTGCGTCATTCTTTATCTTTGTTCCACCTTTGTAACATTCTTACATCCAGTACTCTCAACTTCTTCCCCATCACCTCCCACTGCCATTCACTCCTTTCGTGCCTTTCTCCATCAAAATCACAGTAACTACAGATTTATTTATTTATTTACAGAAGGGTCAGTTTGGATGGCATAGCATTTTTTTAAGGTTCTTCCAAGGGGATTGTGAATAGAAAAATACAAGACACTTGTCTTCTTACTTGACACTTGTCTAGTAAGACATAGGAAAGGATCTAATGACCTAAGTTGTACATCTGGTCCCAGCACTGAAAAAGTAAAGGACTTAGTGAAATTTCCTAACCTCCTCTTAATTCAGAAACTTTGTACTATAGCAGATTGTAAGAGAACTCTGATATTTTAATTTTTTTAAAGTTCTGTAAGAGGTAAAAGGAATTGACTGGCTGGCTACAGATGTCTGTAATCCTAGCTAGTTAGGAGGCTGAGATCTGAGGATTGTGGTATAAAGCCAGACTGGCAGGAAAGTCTATGAGACTCATTTCTCCAAAAACTACCAAAAAGCCAAAGCCTTGAGCAAAAAAAGCTCAGAGACCTGCATTCAAGTGCAAGATGGCACAAAGCTTAAAAAACAACAACAACAACAACAACAACTGACTGCAGGCTGGAAATGTGGCTTATTGATAGAGTGCATTCCTAGCATGCATGAAGCCCTGGGTTCAATTCCTCGGTACTACATGAACAGAAAAAGCTGGAAGTGGTGCTGTGGCTCAAGTGGTAGAGCCCTGAATTCAAGACCCAGGATGAACAAAAAATAAAAGAACTGACAGCATATTTGATGGTACTAGGAAATTACTGTTAGGTTTGTAGTTTTCTGGGGGGTTTTGTTTTCCTTTGTTTTGTTTTGTGCCTGTACTAAGGCTTGAATTCAAGGTTTTAGTGATGTCTCTTAGATTTTTCTCTCAAGGCTGACGCTATACCACTTAAACCATAGCTCTATTTAGGATTTCTGGTGGTTAATTAGAAATAAGAGTCGGGGCTGTGAAGGTGGCTCAGTGATAGAACCTTGCCTTGCATTCATGAGGCCCTGGGTTCAATTCCTCAGCACCACATAAGCAAAAAAAAAGAAAAAAGCCATAAGTGGTAATGTGGCTCAAGTGGTAGAGCGCTAGCCTTGAACTGAAGAGCTGAGGGACAGCACCTAGGCCCAGAGTTCAGGCCCCACGACTGGACCCACCCCCCAAAAAAAAAGAAAAAAAAAGAAATAAGAGTCTTACAAACTTTCCTGCAGAGCCTGGCTTCAAACCACAATCCTCAGACCTCAGGCTCCTGAATAGCTAGACTACAGGAATAAGCCAAGCCACCAACACCCAGCTAATTTATAAGTGAGATAACACATGATATTGTAAGCATGTCAAAAGGGGTCTTTATCTTTCACTAAAATACTCAATAGGAAACAATACAGGTAAGATCCACTCTAAAATAAGCAAAGAGAGGGTGGTATTAAAAATTAAAATAAGATTGGACTACTGAAACTGAGTGGGATGAATATCTGGATTCTCTTAATTCTTTCTATTTTTATACATATTTGAAATTTTCCATTATAGAAAGTTTAAAGAGTACTAAAAGTGAATAAATACTATCATAAGCTAGGCAATAACATTTCTGGGTCTATATACTGGGAGGCAGAGTGCTACAGTTTAGTGACAATTTTAGAGCAGGAAAGACTTGGGAAGTAAATTTTAGCTGTCACTTTACTTTGGTCTGAAAAACAGGTTAATGATATTCATTTCACAGGTTTGTAGTGAAGATTAAAGAAGATAGCACCTGCTGCCAGACACCTGGGGGGCATCTGATGTTAAGTTTTTCCTTCTCTTTGCAAACTTAAGGAAGGCTTTACAACCAGCTAAAATAAAATGCTCATTTGGGATGTTAAATTCCAGACTCCATTTCTACTCAAGAATGACACTAGTCTTAGTGGTCATTACTAGACAATATATTAATCAAAGTGAAGACTAATAATTATATAGCTGTTATCAAGCAGGAAGTTTTGTGTTGGTGTCAATAAAGTGCCACCTTCCAGAAATCAAGTAAGCATTTTTTTACTTTCACACTGAGTTATTTTAAAATAAAAAGTAAACCATATTTTTTATTCAATATAAAATGGAAAATAAAAGATATTTATCTTTATTGGCTGTTTAGTAATGGTTTTATTATCTTAGAAGAGAACCTGAGAAGGGTCAAATGCTTTGAAGAAAGTGAAAGAAGTTAGATGACAATAAAAGGGTTTCTTTCCATTTAGAATTACCTCTAAAAGCGAAGCTGCGCCCCAAATTACTCAACGTCTCTCTACCAATCTGGAACACCAGAGCAGACACAAGATACAGTCTTTCTGCAAGTAACACTAATTCTAATTGACATCAGTTTCTGAGTCTTAGATAGACTGCTGAGAAGAACTTTAAAACAATATTCATGGGAAGCCAGGATAGTCATGCGAGCCTGTAATAACAGCATTCTAGAGTCTCAGGCAGAAAGATCATGAGTTCAGGAACAACCTAAGTTACAAAGTGAGACCCTATTGGAAGAAGAGGAAGAGGAGGAGGAGGAGGAGGAGGAGGAGGAGGAGGAGGAAAAGTTGGTGGAGGGGAGGCAGTAGTAGTTGAAATAATAATTATAAGGCTATGAATCTATCTCAGTAGTAGAATGCTTGACTTCCATGTGTTGCCCTGGGTTTGATCCCTGGTACTCGAAAAAGAAAACAACAATAACATTCAGGGACAATGATATAGCTCAGTAGTTAAGAGCTTCTCTAGCATGTACAGGCTCTGGATTGAATTCTCAGTATTGCAAAAAATAAAATGAAAACTACTCATCTTCCAGTCTGTAGTCTAATGTGTTTTATCCATTGCACCACTTACCCATGAATTGGAGGGAGAGGAAATAGAGTTTTCAGTGCCATAAGTGTAGAAAACACTACCTCCCTGACTGATGGATAATCCTCGTTTCTGTCCACTAATATCAGGCATTTATCTTTAAAAATTAAGTTACTAGAAGGAAAATGTGAGCAAACATCTGTAACTGACTTTTTATTTCTACCAGGCTGTCCAATCACCTGGAATTCTACAAAATATAACTCTCTACAACACATTTATTAAAATATTATGAGACAAGAGTTGTTGAATTACTTCTATGCAAGGTCTAGGGTGTTTTCTTTATAAAATTAGATTGCCCACTGACTACCTTCAAATACTGTACAAACTTTTTTGAGAAAACAGGACATATCCCAACTGAACATTTAAGTGTTATTATAAAAAGATTAAATAATATAACCTATTGTCAAAATGTATGCCATAGTACTCACAGTGACAGATACCACAATTCAAAACAAATACCCAGACAGACCACTGTTGCTCTAAAATTATGTGCAATGCTATATTACTTTTTCTTTGAATTCTAACTGAACACAAGTTCATATAGTCCTTTAAAAACTAGACTTAAGAATAGCTTTTTATAACTATCATATAATATATGGAGAAATTCTTGTCACATGTAATTTTCCTCTGGAAGCCAGTTAGAATAATATAAAAGTCAACACCAAAGGAAAAAAATACTCATCTTCAATTAATTCAATCACTAAGAAGACTTAAATGATTAAGATTATTTTAGGAATGTATGAAATATTATTTTTAGTAATTTATTACTGACAGGTAAAAGTAGGTTCTAAGGCTCACAGAAATGCCATCTTTTAGTTAGTGGACTCTATATATGAAATATGTAATATCTGACACTGTTTGTGAAGAGCAGAATATGGTATTCCAAAATATGGTATTTTCACTTTTTGGTTGTTTTTTGTTTGTTTGGGTTTTGGTTGTTTTTTGTTTGGTTGGGTTTTTTTTTTTTTTTGCCAGTCCTGGGGCTTAAACTCAGCACCTGGGCACTGTTCCTGAGTTCTCTGTGCTCAAGGTTAGCACTCTACCACTTGAGCCACAGGGCCACTTCTGACCTTTTCTGAGTAGTTTATAGGAGGTAAGAGTTTCACAGACTTTATCTGTCCAGGCTGGCTTTGAACTGCAAGCCTTAGATCTCAGCCTCCTGAGTAGCTAAGATTACAAGCATGAACCATCAGCTCTGGCTACATATGACTTATTTTGAGCTAAAAGAAATTAAGAAGCAAAAAAAAAGAAAGAAAGAAAGAAAGAAATTAAGAAGCAAAGGTAAGAAGAACTCTCCACTCTTCTATTTTCCTGAAAGTATAACATAAATTTATGGAGGTTCTACCTTCCTTCTCTACCAGAAAGGACAAAGGTTGATGACCAAAGATAATCTTATACTTATCAGCCGAAAAGCAGTACCAGTTAAATTTTATCAACTAGATTCTATACACTTACCAGCCGAAAAGCAGTACCAGTTAAATTTTATCAACTAGATTCTATCTAGTGGCTTTCCACAAAGGTTCAAGATCCTTTTCCTTTTCTCTTTGTATTTTTTGTTTTTGTTTTGTTGTACTAAGAAATGAACTCAGGAACTGCACATACTAGAAAGTACTCTACCTCCAGCCCCGTTCTTTTCCCTTGTCTTCTCACTTCTCCAAAAATGTTGGGGTTTTTTTGTTGTGTTTTCAGTTGTGCGGCTTGAACTTAGGACCTGCACACTGTCCCTGAGGTTTTTGCTCAAGGTCACAGCAACACTTCTGGTTTTCTGGTGGCTAATTCGAGATAAGAGTCTCACAGACTTTCCTGCCCAGGATGGCTTTGAACCATGATTCTCAGATCTCAGCCTCCTAAGTAGCTAGGATTACAAGTGTGAGCCACAAGCACTCAGCATATTCTGGTTTTTGATGTTAACAAAGAGCAAGGAGCAGCCGGGCGCTGGTGGCTCATGCCTGTAATCCTAGCTACTCAGGAGGCTGAGATCTGAGGATCGAGGTTCAAAGCCAGCCCGGGCAGGAGAGACCGTGAAACTCCTATCTCCAGTAAACCACCAGAAAACTGGAAGTGGCGCTGTAGCTCAAGTGGTAGAGCGCTCACCTTGAGCTGAAGAGCTGAGGGACAGCGCCCAGGCCCAGAGTTCAAGCCCCACGACCGACAAAAAAAAAAAAAAAACAAAGAGCAAGGAGCTAGATGACTGAACCACCTCTTTGAGATGTACTTTTTCCCTTGGTATCTCTCATGTATATCTGAAGTAAGCATGGTAATAATAAATTTTTGTTTTTCTCATATATTTGTGTGTGTGTGTGTGTTTAAACTCAAGGCCTCCTACTTTCACTTAGTTTTTTTTAACTTCCTCAAGGCTGGTGCTCTACTACTTTAGCCATAAGTCCACTTCTGGCTTTTTGCTGGTTTGGAGATAAGTATCTCATAGACTTTTTCTACCTGGGCTGGCTTTGAAATTCAATCCTCAGATCTCAGACTCCTGAGTAGCAAGGATTACAGACATGAACCACAGGAGTCCATCACACATAAGAACTGTGAAAAGTACAAGGAAAATTACTTTTTCTTCCTCTGACACCTGTATTTACATTTTTCTTATATAATATTCTCAACCATAGTATTTCTTTTCCCCTTCCTAGAATTTAAGCATAAGTAAATGTAGTTTTATTACTGCTTTGAAATGGACACAACACACCACTGTTACCCCAAAGGTACTTTTATATAAAAAGTTTGTGCATTCTGATTTCTGTGGAAAAAAAATCAAAGTATACTTTCATTGCAAGCATAATTTCGGTCTGAATCATTTGCAGTTCACAAAATTCTATAGGTTATATTGGGCGCACTATAAATGCGAGCAACCCAGAAATATTTGTGTTTATAACTGCTAATAACAGCAACAACAAAAAAAGGTTTTTCCTGAAAAATACTATTCTGATATTTACTTATATTTAATACTTTGAGCAACATTTTGGAACATTAGTACTATTTTTTCACAAAACAGTTGAGAAACTAAAGAAAGAACAAGTTAAGCAATTTGCCAAAGTAGTATTAGCCAACACTCTTATTACTGTATTTCCCTTCAAAGGTTAATTATAATTGTAGGAACAAACCGGCCAGGAAATGTATCATCTGAGCCCAATTCTGTCTCTTACCAGTGGAGATCAGCTAAATTTGTTCCTATATCAAAAAAGGGGTGGAGCCAGGTGCTATCATTATAAAATGTTATTTTCTATTCTTACCTATCTACAATAATTGTTGAAAACATATTTTCCCTGAAAAACCTTACTTTTAAAAATGGAAGTTTAACAGATTCTCAGTCATTGAACATATACACATTATGTCAAGCACTTCAAGTATTTTCAGAACAAGATATTAAATTGATTAGAGTATTCTAACAGTATAGCATAACCCCAGTGGACCAAATCCTTACATAGGGCATAGAAACTGCCAGAAATTATGTCTTCCAAACCATGTGTCCTTTAAAGGCTGGTACTATCCTTTACCCAGTAACCCCAAAACCTATTGTAATGCTGAGCTGAGCAGGCACTTGAAGTAATATAACCTAACTTCAGAACCCAAGGACACATGGTAACACTGATAAGGAGGCAACTTCACTCTATCAGAAACACTTTATGTACTGCCACTGGGTTGATGGCCCAAAGCTTAAAAAAAAAGTAATAATAATAAAGTACTTAAGAAAATATTGAACAGTTAGATCCTAAAGCGATTATATCAGCCTTCCATCACAATGGAAAAAAACGGTTAGGTTAAGAAAACAACCCTCGGGCTGCGAAGTTAGCTCAGTGGTAGAGTGCTTGCCTTGCATGCCTGAGGCCAGGGGTTCGATTCCTCAGCACCACATAAGCAAAATGAAAAAAAAGCCAGAAGTGGCACTGTGGCTCAAGTGGTAAAGCGCTAGCCTTGAGCTGAAGAGCTGAAGGACAGTGCCCAGGCCCAGAGTTCAGGCCCCACGACCAGACCCCCCCCCCAAAAAAGAGAAAACAACCCTCAACTCACTTCCCAAGAAGTTAAGGATTAAGTGAATAAACTTTCTACTACTATGATTATTTAAAATGACTAAAAAGTGGGTACCTGGTGAATTTGCTACTGAATCAAAATGACAGTTAGCCAGGACAGCATGTTGGGCTCCATCTCTTGGTTCCAACTTTACCACAACATTGGTGATATTGTCATAGTAGCTTGTAAAACCTCCCAAGAAGTCAATGCTAAAGGAGCCTGTAGGCCGTTGTACGTCCACTGAAATCTTGTGAAGGCTGCTGCTTTGTACTTCAATCAGTTTAATCTGTTCCAAAAGGTAATGTACTGTCAGAATTTCATTTTCTGGACTTCCTGTAGTCCTGGGGCCAATGGATGTTATATGTTCAAGATAATCTCTGGAAGCAACCAAAAAGAATGGTGATGTCAAACGTTGACATGCTTAAGACAGCACTGAGCAACTATCCTAACTCCACTCCCCTCCCCTCCTCTCCCTCTGGCTCCCTCTCTCCCTTGTAGCTGTGGTTCAATGATAGGGTACTAGTCTACGGAACAAAAAGCTCAGGGACAGTGCCTACGCCCTGAGTTCAAGCCCTAGGACCAGCACAAAACAAACAAGCAAATTAATTCATTTAATTTTAGAACCGCCCCTTCCACACACACACCCAAACCTTATAGTCATTCATGGGTGCCAATGACGGTTTGACAAATTGTGCAATTGTCAAAGTTTTGAGTGGGTAACGGGGTGCTGGTGACTAACGCCTGTAATCCTAGCCACTGAGGAGGCTGAGATTTGAGAGGATCATGGTTCGAAGCTAGCCCAGGCAAGAACATCTATGAGGCTCTTATCTCCAAAAAGCCAGAAAGTGGAGCCGTGGCTCAACTGGCAGAGCACCAGCCACGAGCTCAGGAGCAGCACTCAGGGCGGCTGGGAGTTCAAGCCCCAGGGCCCGGACAGACACGGGGACCCACGCCCGTAGTGAACGCGTTGCCTTCCTATCCCGGGGTCTGCGAAGCTCGGGAAGTTGACACCTTACCCTAGCCCCTCTCCAGCCTCCCCGGCCAAAAGAAATGCACTCGAACTTCCCTCGCCCTTCCTGTTCATTGGAAGCGCAGGAGGACGACCCGAGGGAGAAAGTGGAAGTAGCTCGAGCCGCGCGGGACCGACAGCCCAAGCGACGTGCAGGCAGGGGAAGGCAGGCCAGGTCCCGGCCACGCCACGCCACCTCGGTCCGCACCCCCGAGAAGACCACGGGGCGGACCGGCCAGCCCCAGCCCCGACGCTGGGAGT